AAACGGTGGGGGCAGACATTCTGGTAAAATTTACCCCAAGTTGACACCGGGAGTGCCCGATGGACAAGGCGGACATTTATCGTAAGACCGTCGGCCGCTGCAGATATCTTTCTCGACCGCGGAGCCTTCCTTACCAGTCTGTGGGGCTCCCAAGAAAAAGAGGCAAAGTTAGCACCTCTGAGTTATTCAAATTTGCAAATTTTTATTCTATAAAATTGGGATAATTAAAGACTAATTTCAATCATAAATTAAACAGCTTGACCTAAAACATATCTTGAAACAAGTATAATTAAGATGTGGGTGTGCAGACTTGACACCAAATGGAACATCCAATATGGAGTAACTATAAAACAAATTACAGTATAATTTTAAACCAATTAAATACTAATTTATCTTGAATATAATGATTACAATTTTTTAGACAGTCGGATACAAACACGTACGAAACAATCAGGCACGTTATAACAGGGGAGCCGAAGAAAAGAGTGAATCGCTCTTTACAAAATAAAATGTGAAGACAATACACATGACAAAAAAAAAAAAACAATTGCGTAAAGAACACAATTGTAATTGTGTGTTTCAGAAAACAGAATCCACCAGTGCTCTACCAAATTGTCAAAAAATAGGGAACATATTGTGCATTAATGATAAAATTTACCTGGAAAATCATTGATTAAGATATAAACAATACAGAATGGTTTCAAGTCCGAATAAAACGTTTCGCCTTCGAAATCGGTGGGCCGAAGTCTCGGGAGCGAGCCACGGGCGGGCAGGAAGGGGTCAGCAGCCGGGAGGGACTAAGAAAGGTTTTGCGCAAGGTTAGACACGACAGTGGAATCGCTGGGAGCCTCTGCGCATGCGCAACTGCAACGCTTCGTTCGAGTAACCGGTAAACGCCGTTCCACCAGAATTAGCGTGCGTAATCATCGTTCTCATTTCGCGCACTAACCCAGTCAGGTGATCACGATTATGGAATTTGTTCCAAACTGCGGTGGCAGTGCTGCTAGCTCTGAATTTCCATGATGCAACATCATGATGGTGACACTAATCTCTATACATAATTATTATCAAGGTGTAATAATATTTATTTACTTAATAATATAATTATTTATAAAGATTAGTGATTAGGTGGCGGCTGTAATTGAAAAAATACGAATCAAAAGGATACACCATTCTGGCAATTCAACGATAGCAGTACACACAGCTTGGAACGACTTCCATGTAGAACGGAGCATGCAAAAAGTCGCTTTATACTTCACACTACGCAGGTCACATGCTTGTCCCGCAACGTTTTTCTACGCTCCGCTCTGCAGAAGGTGTCTCCGAGGCGGCCGGCGGCGCAGACTGTCCGCCCGTGGAGAAGGGCAGAGGCGACGGCGGCTGCTCGATCTAACGGGGCGCCGCCGCCCTCAGAGCGCCCGCGAGCGCAGCACGACCAGGAGGAGGGAGACAGCGGCCGGGGCACGGCCAGCCAGAGGCGCTCCTGCGCATGGGGAACGCACTGCGCTGAGCAACGGGAGACTCGCAGGGGAATAGTCCCCGATACAAGCAATAAAAACCAATTTTGGACTAACAAGAAAACAAGTTGTTTATGAAAAGCATCGTTTAGAAATAAATGAAAATGGTGCCTGGTGTCCGCCATATTGGATTTTAGCCTATGACATTCACGCCGAATGTGAGTGTATGTCACATAAGAATACTGGTCGAATTAGGCGATAGACGGAATAGAGAGATTACTACAAGAAAATACCGTATTGACAGCTACTGATTGGCCACTGCTGCGTTAGTTCATTTGCTAGAGTTAGAGTTAGAGTTAGTTCATTTGCAAATGGCTTCATCACTATATCTTACAATGTCATGGCCCTACTTGACGTTCACTTGTTTCCTGATCTGTCAAAGTGGTCCCTTCTTAGAGTAACTCCTTCATAACAAAGAAATCCAGATACACTATCACGAAACCCAACGTTAATTAGTGGCGGCTCGTGCGCGTTTCCTGGGAGGAGGAAAGGTCAGCAGCACAAGCTACTTCAAATGAAACGTGTAACAAATTAAACTGCGTGCCTTCACTAGCGAAACGCTGAAACAGAACTCTCCGTTCGGGAGCCCCTTCGTTCGCGCTTTTGCAGTAGAAAATTACATCGCGCGCCAGCGTCTGTCCTTCGTTCATCGCATCGCATCGCGAAGCCCTAGGACGGGTTGATCTAGTTGAAAAAATGACCGCCAGATGGCTGTTCAATGAAGGGAGGGAAACGTTCTTTTGGCCTGCAAGAATACATTTAAAAGTTTTCTCTTCTGACCGCAAGAGTGCTGTGAGATATGCGCGATTAACACAGGTCAGGAGGAAAACGTGGATGTCTTTTTGGGAGCGATATTGATAGTTTTTGCTTCGTTTAAAAGCGTGCATAGTTTAAAATAAAATATGAAAATAAATTCTTCATAGCTATAAATTCAAAAATGTAACATTTTCACTGCAACAAAGCAAATCTTTTTTGGTAACTATTTGAATTTAGAAGAAGAAAGTATGCGGGAGGGACTTTTATCCCTTTACCCCTGAGAAAACGCAACTGCTGTTAATGTAAATAATTTCGCCTTAATTTGGTGCCACAAATTAAAATATATAGAATGAACCTAAACTCTACTAGCATACTTTGGGAAGTGACTCGTGAGTTAGTATAGAGCAGGATAACGAACTTAACGAACAAGTAAAGGGATCAGCGTCAAAACTAACTCCAAAAAGAGCCATTTTGATAAGTGCACAAATACTTGTAGACAAGAGCCATTCCCGAGTTATATTTTCTCGTAAAGTTTCATTGACCTTCGTTATCTCAAAAAAAAAAGTTTTTTCTTAGTTCTTGATTCTGTGATACTTTCTAAATGATATAGAAAAAATTCAGAATATGAGTTACTCTTGGGTTAATTTTGCTCCATTAAGTATCTCAAAATATTTGGCCCGTAAAATAATAAATATCTTCAATCGACTGTAAATAAAGAGCTGAAAGGCTTAGAGAAACCCTAACCACTTTGTAACGAGAACACCCGAGCTTCGCCCGATTAGGAACTGCAAATGAGCTATAGGCATATACTCGTACAGGCATTACTCAAGAAAACGGCTTTAAGTTATTTTAACGATTAAAAAAGTATAGGTCTAAAAAGTTCGCGGATAAAAATCCGGTCAAAGTCGGGGGATTTTGAGGTGCCAAAAATCAACGACATACATGCGGACGCTTGTCGGCATGTAAAAGAGATCCCAGGAAAGGCTCATGGCCGATCCTGGCAAAATTAAATCCTCTAGCAATTTAGCACCAATCAGAGTTTCGATTTGAATTACTGGATAAGATTGCGAATATTGTATCTTGGTCTGCTCTAACTGGTATGCAAATCAAACATCAACATTGGCACACTAGCGCCCCCAGGGAAAACAATGGCAAACTATCGTAGGTATACTTGCTCAGCATTAGTCTCACAAGAAGGTGCTTCTGGAGACTAGCCTACGCACCAATCTGTGTACGGCATTAAAAAAAGAAGATAGATCTAAAATATGTTTTCTATACACACCTTTTGCAGAGTGAAGGGTATGTGTTTTTATTTTATTATTTTTGAAGTTATTCACACACCCACATTTCACTTAAAAGTGCAAACAAAATTTTAAAGTGAGCCGAAATTTAAAAAATAGGGAGACGGTAATAAAATAATGGAATTAGGACAAAATGTTACACAATATATTTAGCCTAATAAAATAATTTGGAAAGTAATTCGTGAACTACACAACCAATTTCATACCAGTGTGATTGCTACGTTACATGGTATTCATAAAAATACTTGGTACGTTGGTAAAATGGTCAATGATAAACTTGTTACAATCAGATCATATGTCATTATTTGTATTGGATTGGCTCGTTATGTAATCGAGTGGTTCGTTTCGCGCGGTAAATGAATATTCTAGAAACAGATTTGTCTAGGAAATTCTAAAGCAGAAAAAAGTTAAATTTTCTACTCGATACATTCTCACGATTCATTTTCCTCTCTACGAGAACGTCCGTATTTCGTGAAACATAGCGAATGGAGCGAGCGAAAAGCAAAGTACACTTCCCAATATTAGCCTGCCTGATGAAATGCGTTCAGTAATCCTCTCGATGTCAAACGAATCTCCCAATTAAAACATTCGTTATAAAGCAAGTCTGCACTTTCTGTTGTTATTAATTTTTTTTGCACGTATGTAACTTCAGCAATTTTGGAAGATTTACTCCAAACCTAGAGAAAAGAGAATATATTCATATCGAGAGAAGAGGGAAAATAATACAATACGAGGACAGTCTCGAAGAGGAAAAGAAAAATAATCTTAATTGTATAAAGAAGCAAAGAGCAAGGTATATGAAGGTAAAAACATGGGAATAATCAGACAAGGAAATAGGGAGACATGCAACAGGGAGAGGTGGCAGGCAGATGGCGGGAGAGAAGTGGGGAGAAGGACGAAAAGAATGAAATGTGGGAGAGAATGTGAGAGAGGAAATGAAAGGAGGAGAAAGTGGCAGGTAGGATGAGTCAGAAAGTGGAGAACGAGGGAGGAGGAAAAACGATTAAGAGAATGAGGTAGTGTGATAGTGAAGGACAGAGGAAGTGAAAAGGGAAAAGAAAGAGAATGAGAGGGAAGGCCAGTTGAGGCAACAAGGCAAGTTGGGGAGGACGTGGTCGTGGATGTGGACGTTGTTGTGGGCATGATCGTGGGCTTGGACTTGGGCGTGAGCGTGGACATAGATGTGGGCGCGGACGTGGTTGTCAGCGTTAGCTTAGGTATGGATGTGAGCATAGATGAGGACCTAGTTGAGAACGGGGAGGTGGTTTCGGACAAGATCTGGGCGTAGGCAAGAGTATAAATGTGGAATGGGTGTTGTTGACGTAAGCATAAGGGGAAATGTGGCGGTGAGCGTGGGTGTGAACGTGAGTGCGGGTGCAGATGCGGCGGTCTGTGTATAGTAGGCGTGAGCGTGGTGTGTGAACATTGCGGTGGTGAGCGCGAGTGGAGCGAGGGTGTGGAAGTCGTAGTCGGAGGCATTAGCATGGGCGTGGGCGTGGGCGTGGGCGAGGCCCCCACCTTGTGCGGCGGCGGCGGCGGCGCCGGTGGCGGCGGCGGGCGGCGCCGTGGAGGCGTCGTGGGCGTCGAGGAACTCGTAGGTGGCGTTGAAGCCCGTGCCGTCCAGGCGGTCGTTGGAGCGGAACGTCACCCGGAAGAACTTCCGGTCCGACTCCACCTGCAGCGCCTTCAGCTGGCCGCAGTAGCGCGAGTACTTGCGGTCGCGCGCCATGAAGTTGGAAAACTCCACGTAGTCGCTCGCCGTCAGCGCCTCGCACCTGCCACACATTCATTCACGAGGAGTCCATCAATTGCTTTCAGATCATGGGGTTGGGGAGATGGAAAGGTTCCACGTTTGTACTACACGTTTGTACGGAGGATTACACCAGTCTAACTTAACGGAGGATTACTCCACGTTTGTACGAGTACGAATGGTTAGAGAACACTTTTACAATAAACGGCAGAAATTTACAAAACATGCGACGAGGAATATGGAAGGAGGCCGAGAAGGCTTTGACTCGCAACGCATCACTCGGGGTAGTGTGTACCCCCCCCCCCCCGCCGAAGCACAAGGCGTGTGCGCGGGCGTGTACTCACGGCTGGACGCCCTCCACGTCGAAGTAGTGGAAGCGCAGGCGCACGCGCTGGCGCGGCCGCCCGTGGAAGAAGTAGTGGCACTCGGTGTCGCGCGGGTACAGCCCCGGGAAGTTGGGGCTGGCGAAGGCCCCGGCCGCCGCTGCGCTCGCGTTGAAGGCGAACGCGCACGGGAAGTCGGCCAGCTGCTGCCCCGACGCCACGCCCAGGTCTGCAAGCCGAGCCGCGCTTGCTCTCCTCCCGCCTCCGCGCCGGCGCGGGCGTTGGATGGATGAGCGATAGGAGGAATGTGCGTTTCGATAACCTTTCTTCAATTTACTTTCTTATTTTACGCAACAACTGTGTGACGTGCTACGGGGAGAGGTGCATTCTGTGCACTTTTTCGTAATTCTGGGATCCCTACCCTAAACCGTATACAAGTTGAATTCTGAGTAAAGAAATTAAAAGAACGTTTTGAGCAAGAATTGTTAACAAAACATTCGCTCCGATGTAATGAAATCTATATTCATACGCAAATCAGTTATATATTTGGGTTCGTATACCCCATCATGTCCTTCGTGAAGGAATATACTTTTGCCACGACAACATGGAGAATGATAATTTAAATAACTATGTATTTCCGACTGAATTCTAAAGCACGTGCACAGATAAAGAAGATACATTTATGTCCAGAAGCAACAGAAGGGGGCCATCTGAGAATTTGCTGAAGAGATTACGGAAACTGCACGAAAACCTGATCGAGATGGGGGTCACTGACCCAGAAGCTGAAGTTGAGTGATTGGATGAATGGGTAATTGGATAAATTGCCTGGCTGAATGTGTGAACGACGGTAAAAGTGCAAGAATGAATGAATAGGGAAGGAACGAAGAAATAAATTAATTAAAGACCGAATGAATGATTGCAGGCTTCTGTACCTGGGAAGGTAAACAGTTGACTTACAGGGCGTTGAAGCTCACCAGAGGTAGTAATCATTGCCATTGTCAAACTCATGTCATTGTCATTGTCGACATGTCATTGTCAAACTGAGTTTACTTTCTGGACACCACTTTAATTACAAAATTATAAAAAAAAAACAACTTGGTTTTGAAATTCATTTTCAGTTTCATATCGTTAAAATCGGGAGACTTCACCCAAATTAAAAGTTCGTTCTTGTATGAAAGTAATGAATTTCGAGATTGAAACTTAGGATAGGACGATCTTGGCTGCGTGTGCATATGTTACCGTCACTGTGTTGCGTTCGTTCTTCGCAATTGATTTTGACCTATCTCTGTGTTTCGGAGGGGGAACACTCTCTTGTTCATGTACTTACGGCAAGTAAAAGAATTCTGGCAAAATGCGTGTCAAAATTATATTCTTCGATAATTCCTGCGCTGTCAGATTCCATACTCACACACTCAGATCAAGAGAGATTAAGGGTGAGAGCGGTCATTGCGTAACTCCCTGATGATGATTTTTTAAAATCGTAAAAATTATAACGCAACATTAAAAATTTGTTTGTTTGTTGATTTACTATCAATTTATCAAAAATCACTAATTTACATGTACAAACATTTAGTCCAATGAGGTGACAAGTACTATTAAGACACCTATTTATATTCTCCTTAAACTTAGCGACAGAAACTAGACTTTTAAAATAATGACGCAGGCTATTATATCTGATTAGGTCAATATCAAAGCATTTTTTCAGAACAATGTTTGTTCCCAATTTAAGAGCATTAATTGAATTCTTGCAAAGCTAAAGAAGCTAAGTGTCAAAAATATTTTTTTCGGGAAATCAATAAAAATCTATACGAATTTGTATTGTCGTATAACCAGAGCCACCACTGTATCTAGTGTTGATTGTGGTTGTATATCAAGGCTCTTCCTTCCAAGTAGTTAACAAATATAGCTCTTTTAATTATGCATCGGAACCGATGTATTTAATATTTAGATGTCAAAAAGCTTCGTTTCGAACATTTAGGTGCTTTGCTTATTTGTCTTTGCAAGGTCAGAATTATCTATATTTCGTGTCTGATGATCTTGTACATGTCTAGTTCAGAGAGTATTGAGAAAAATATTTGTGGAAATTGCAACAGTAAAACACAGCCAACCTAATGAATATGTAGGAGACCTAAGGAGATATGTAGAGAAGTGCAGATATGGAGATATGTAGAGAAGTAGAGCAGTAAGGGATTAAGATAACAGAGAGAAAGCGTAGAGAGTAGCCCTTACTCAACCAAAATCACCCTAGTGATATTTCAGAGACCGCAGTCCTGAAGGAATCTTTATGACACGCAGGGTGTAATTTAAACGTCAGTCTTGCAGCCCAGACTTAGCAAAGTGATTCTCATTTGTTTCCCCACATAAAATAATTCCTTCTGGTCAGTAGTTCAGCCAGTAGTTGGTTCAAAAAGCCTGAAGAATGGTGGTAACAACATGGAACAGTAGTTCCATGTACAATGCAATAACATTTCTTTACATAAAGGCGTAACCAGGATTTATCTCGGCTTATTTTATATTATTTGTATTTATATTCATTTGTGATTGCCAAACATGTCATAGTCAAACTGAGTTTACTTTTTGGTCATCTCTTGTATTACAAAATTATCAACAAACTTGGTAAACAAAATGGTTTTGAAATTCATTTTCAGTTTCAAATCGAGGACGTCACCCAAATTAAAAATTATTGTATGAATGTAATGAATTTCGAGATTGAAAATTTATTACTTCAATTGCATTAGCAAACTTTTTTGATAGAAATGAAAAGTTTCCTCTTGAACATGCGCTTGAATTCACGTAGATTAAAATTAAATCCATTAACCTATCATTAAAATTGAAAATATTTGAACCGCATAATTGGTGTCGGATGTAAAGGAGATATTTTTAAATTCACGTTTCAGTTATCCTGGATTTTTATTCGAGTAATGGATTGCATTTTGATGGTCACTTCTCATTAGCTAACAAGCAGTAAGTCGATAACAATGCGCAGCAGCTCCGGTAAAACATTTAAATGCACGTTATTCCCACATCAGGAGATTTAAATTCATTGCATCGTCTCTGATACATTTGATAAATATAATCCCTTTTCAGCCTTTCTAGAGATAAGAATAGAACACAAATTCCATTCCATTATCCCTCCATTAATGTGAAATTACCCGTTGCACCCATGCATTGTGAATTACCACTTGCGGGAGGAACTACTGTTTCAAATATTTCAGTTTGCAAGTATCAATTCCTATTGTGCAGTAACATGAGCCATATTCATCTCAATGTGAATATGAGAAAATATTAATAAATTAAAAAGACAAAACAAGGGAGCAATAAGATTGACACTGAGATTAATATGAAAATTAGATAGAAACCCATATCCCATATTAAGGACGGGGTATAAATTAATAAATAAATAATAAATAAAGAAAATACCCGAGTGTATTTTGTGAAACGTGGAAACGTAATTATAATCAAAACATTAATATAATGGTTTGAAATGAACAATAAAACAAAAGAATGGTTAAAGAAATGAGCGAATGGCAGCTCAGGAATTGTGTAACAAATGAAAAGTGGCGTGCTACTAGTACAAAGAAAGAAGAAGCGTATTGGGAATTAATCTGCGCCGCGTATCAACAGTGAACTTTCAAGAGAAGCATTGTTGAGGTCCACTCACAATGCAAACGTAAATATAAGCATGGAGTTTTCATAAAAGTTAGGACTACGTCCACAAGCGGACGCAGCATAACACGTAAGCCGGTAACTTAAAAGCTTGCAAGTTTCAAGCTTCTGTGCTTATGCTTAAGTAAGACATAAGAAATGAACCAATTACAGTACGTTAACTCAAAATCGAGAATCGAAAGAGAAGCGAAGTGGATAGACGAACTAACGCCGTATGGGACATCGACACAGTCGATACTTCGAAATCGTTCAACATATCCAACCAATAGTTAACTAGAATGTCTCACTGCCAATAGAAACTCTTACTTTGCTTACGTTTATGTTAGACATTGTGAATACTTCAGTCTCTTATGTTAATGTTTACGTCTATGCATTATACTTATGTTTACATTTCCATTGTGAATAGGCCTTTACTGTTATAAGAAAAGACGAGGCGAGATAGTGAAGCAGTACGAACATGGTGTGATGAGCTCCGGCATATGTAGATAATTTTTTTTTAAATTTTGCATAGTAGAATTTGAAGTTATTAGCACAAAAACGGCAATTTGGACAAAGTATAGACATTTCCAAAAGTTAAATTATAAAAGTCTTCAATGTTTTTCGAGTGTGGAAAACGAGAGGTAGCTGGGCCGTGGGAGGAGCCTGGGAAGAAGTGGTGCCAATGGACCAGGAGTTGATTATTCGTCGGTCAAGTTGGCATCAAAATGAACGAAAGGGAAGGGGACATTTTAAAACTCTGGTAACGACCAAAAGATTTCAGACAGTTGGTAAATACACAGACCTACGTGTATAACGAATGAACGCAAATTATTGTATTGTTAATTTAGTGTGAATGTGTTTTTATTTTCTTTAGAATTTTTGCTGTGAATATGTTTACTGTATGTATTCTATGTCATCCGAAGCAGATGATTGATAATAAACAGCGTAACAGAGCATTGCTGCACGTTTGAAATATTTTTTTCTATTTTAATAAGGGATTAAGCCGACCCGGATGACCGAGATGGCTAAGAGCATGTACTGACTCAGCGCTTCGGTCCGACGGGTTCGAGTCCCGCCTTGAGCATGGTTGTCCCTTGTCTCACATGTATGAATTGTCGCACAGCGCTTTGCTTCCTGCTGGCCACAGATCCGGGAAGCCTGCAAAGTGTATATACATATATACATATATACATATATACATATATACATATATACATATATACATATATACATATATATGTATATATACATATATATGTACAAGATATTTATTTATATATAAACTATATGGAGGAAGCGCAGAATCGATTCCAGGAATTTTCGAAAAATATGATGTGTTCTTTTCATCTTCCCGCCCTTACTTTGTCAGATGTGAAAGTATAGTGATTCCTGTGTATAGTAAAGTACTTCTTCTAACACATTGTGTGGCCCACAAATCCATGTTTTATAGGTACTTGATACCGAAAATTCGTTTGACGATGAAACGTATCTGTCCGTCCGACTTTAACCTAGCATCTAAACCCTTTAGCCCATTTTCTCCAAAATTGATATTCGCCAATCGATTTAAATGAAGTTGAGGCCCTT